ATTTTATATTTAAAAATTAAAATTAAAAATATAATTAATTAAAATTTTAAAATTTTAAAAATTAACTAATTTTAATTAAATCACTTTAAATTAACTCAACCCAACCCTAACTCAACTTAATTAGATTGGGATATTTTTTATCTAAATTATTTGGAATTTTAGGTTAATACCTTAAAATCTATGACCTTATCCATAATAAATAAATTGCGTTAAAATTTTAAATTAGATCAAATTTTGTAAAGGTTTACTATTAAGGGGACGCTAAAAAAATTTTAACTTTTGTGATGTCATCTATTATAATGATTTACACTAAAATTATACTAAGATAATATTTTTGATACTCTTTATTATAACAGTCGGTGCTAAAAAATAGAATAACAATTTGGCGGTTTTTTTGTTTGTTTGGACCATTTTAATCTAATAATAAGAATTATATAATCTATAATCATGAGTTCATTATTTTAATGTTTTAAATTATAAAATAAAAATTTTTAAATAAAAAAGTGTTTATACCTAACAAAAAAACTAATAGGATAAGGTGAAATCCAATTATAAAGAAAAGTCAACATGATAGATTACAATTTAAAGGTTCAAACGAAATTTTAAATAAACTAGATTTCAGGTGGTAGAGGATAAGTTAGGTTTTGGTGTTTGAGTTTGATTTAAAGAAGAAATTGAGAGTTTTTAGGAGGAGGTTATCCTTAGGGTTTATTGAAGGTAAAATTGAACTAAAAATAGAAAACTGTCAAACAACTGCCAAACGTGGAGTCCCCACTACTCAGTCATGGTGAGAGAAGACCGAGAAACATGGAGGAGGTTTCCCAACACTGAAGGAAAGAAAAACAGGGAGAAGAAATCAGTTTCAGACGGCCTGCCATACACACACACTGCCCAGAGCATGTTTTTCAACTTTCAAACTACTTTTTTCATATTTCAGCAATAGTTCCAGATTAATTTGCAAGATCTGTTCTTGTTCATACCCTTAGGTTAGCTTTTTCCATCCTTGTTCATATTTCCTTTCAAAGATTTCAATTTAGGTTAGTTTTTAAGCATTTGGAAGCAATTCAGCTTTCAAAATAGGTCTACCCTATTGATTTGGTTAGTTCCTCGTTTTTTATGGATTCAGTTATGTTATTTGTTCATGTAAATAGATTGAATGCTTTCTGCCTTTGTTCTTTTGTTTATGCACAACAGTCAGACATACAGTTTATTTAATTTCAATTTCTAAATTTAATTTTATAAGTTTCCAGACTTTAATTATTTCGTAGACTCTCCTTCAATTTTAGTTATCAAGTAGTTTAGCTATTTTTATTTTAAATCTACAAGCAACTAAGTTTAATTGTTATGGATTGTGTAGTAAAAATCATTATCTATGATTTTACATTTTCAGTTGTCTGCAAATTTTATTTTTATGGCATATTGTTTTCTTTTATTGATCTCTTGTTAGATTAGTTGCCTTAGCATTTTGTGTTAAGTTTAGGATTTATTGCTTTTATTGCACTTTTGTGGTTGTAAAGTCCTTGGAGGTTTTCAAGGTAATTAGTAACCCATTTTGCAGAACTTCACCCTTTGTTTTGCAACATTGTTTGGGGCGCAATTTATTTTACAGACGTTATTTCCAATCATCCCATTGGAGGTCGACCGCTAGAAAGGAGAAGGGTCGTTTAGAAAATCCTGTTTTCTTGTTTTTAGACAAAAAAAGTGGCACGCCTAACATCCAAACTCACTTGGTAAAGGCCGGTTAAGGATGTTTGGGGAAACAATCCTTTGTTGGCACGCCTGGTGGGACCACCAGCAGGGTGTATCAGTTAAGGTTTTCAGATCCTCTGTTCATACATCCAAAGGCGTCTGGAGGCATGCCGCCAAGAAAGAGCAGAGATAAAGAGGTTCAGTCAGCCTAGGCTGAACATGCAAATAACAGTCTAGTCTACTCGGATGGTGAGAATGATCCAGTTGTTCCTCCACTCTTGTCACCTTTCGTGGAGCAATCTTATGGCAATATAATTTTCAAAGAAAGGGATGCAGACCGCAAAGATGAATTTGTGGAGTCAATTAATGTGATTAGAAACTTGATTGAACATTTTGAGATATCATGCAGAGAGCAAGCCCAAGATGTTCAAAAAATCGTTGAGAGATCAACAGAATCTTCCAGACAGCATGATGAGGCAATGAGACAATTTATGGTTGAACTGAGATAGATTTTTTACAAGAATCGCAGAACACTGCAGGCTGTTTCAAAACAAGTAGTTGAGCAAGTTCGACAACCCAGACCTGAGGTCCCTCCTCCAGCCGTTGAAATGCCCAAACAGATTCAAGAAGCCCCAATCCCAATGCTCGGGAGGCAAGGGAATTAGCCTCATCCCAACATTCAACAGTAGAATTTCTTCATGGATGAAGGGCAAAGACAACATAAACTGATAGAGGCTGTTGCTCCTGTTGCAGACCATGGTCATCAACCTCAGCACAGGTACATATCGCCAACTAGGAGGGGAAATGTAGGTCCTTATCATCAACCCCATCCAATGGACTTTTTCCAACCATAAGTTCTACCAGCCCAACCGGTACAGCGTAGTCTGCACAATCAACCAGCTCAACTATTCAATAGAAATCAGCTAATAGATCTAGTACAAAAGACCTATAGGCCAGCCATGAGGCCATTGGTAAGTCCAGCCTACAAGAAGCCTTATACAGACATCATTGATCATGAAAATCTTTTTCCGAGGGGTTTTAAAGTGCCTAAGTTCACTCTATTTTCTAGTGAGGCTAGTCAGTCCACTATTGAACATATTGGACGCTTCACAATACAGTGTGGAGAGGCGTCTGGAGATGATAACCTGAAACTCAAACTATTCCCTAGCTCTTTGACTGGGATAGCCCTTACTTGGTACCTCAGTTTACCTCAAAACTCAGTCTATTCTTGGAGGCAAATGGAGGACTTTTTCCATACTCAATTCTATCGCTGTGAATTGGAAGTGTCTATGGCAGACTTGTCTAGGTTAGCCCAAAAGCCTGGAGAGTCGTCTGAGGCATTTCTTGCTAGGTTCCAGAGAGCGAGACTAAAATGTCGAGTTTCACTCCAAGAACAGGAATTTGTCAAGCTGGTTCTGAATGGTTTGGACATCGAGCTCCAAAAGAAATTTGCGAGGATGGAATTCTAAGACTTCTCTTAATTGTCTTATAAAGTGGCTCAATATGAAAATCTACTAAAAGAAGACGTTCAAAAGAAAGCTGCATCACATGGCACCTATTACAATGACCCTAATTTTGATCTTGATATGGCTGAGGTGGTTACAGACAAGCCTGTTGTCTGTCCAGACCTTATCAGACCAACTCATCAACCTGAGACGTCTGTGAGACATTATGTTAGTGAGGCTGGAAAACAATATACTTTTGATGTGTCAAAAGCTAGTGATATATTCCACCACCTTAAAAAGAGTGGTCTAATTAAGCTACCACTAGGACATAAAATCCTGACAACGGTTGAAATCGGAACTAGAAATTATTGCAAATTTTATAATTCTTGGAAACATTCTACTAATAATTGTGTTATTTTTCGTAATGTCTTGCAAGAAAAGATTGACAACGGTATCTTGAAATTTTCAGACAAAGCGAAGGAAACCATGGAAGTAGATGCAGATCCTTTTCCAACTGTGTCTGTTAGCGTGAATGTTCCAGACTTGAGGAGTGTTGCCAGAAATCGTTATCTACCTTATGCTCAAAGGAATCTTGCAGTTAAAGACCTCAGGTGGGTTATTGAGGCGCAAAGATCCAGACATAGCAGGAGCGTCAGGTCAGACTGGCAGAGGCCCGGGGGGCAAGGAAGGATCATTGTGACCAAGAACTTTAGCCCAGAAAGTACCAAACCTCACTCAACTGGTACTAGATCTCCAAGAATGATTAAACCACCACTCAGGTCACCGTTCAGACGATGGGAGAAAGTTAATCATCCAAAGTTTCCAACCCAAAATCCCAGAACCTTGAGGTGCAGATTGCAACACAAGAGGGTTGAAGAGAAGAAAAGACAATAGAAGCAGGTGGAGGCGAAATTCATCTTGCAGACCACACCAACCTACCAAAAGGAACATGGTGTGGGTGAGAAAAGAGAAAAAGGAAGTTGCCACCCATACTTTATTGGAGGAGGAAGACCAATCTCCAGCCTCTCCAAAGGTGGCATCTGTCATTGTGGGTGCAGATGACATGTTGAAAGCAACTTTTGAAGCACAAGAACAGTCTGAAAATGTTGGAGTTGGATGAAAAGAAGATGACACTATTCATTTTGGGGAATTCTCAGTGAATTTATCATGTTTGGTGCTAACATTATCCTTGGTTTTCCAAGCCAAGAAGGAGGAGGAACTAGCCATTTGTGAGTTCCCAAAACAGACAGAAGAAGAGGCAATCATTGTTCCAGCCTAGGATGATGAAGAAAAGGACATGGTTGACAAAATAGTGTTTGAAAAACCAAAAGAAAAGATGGCCAGACACATTAGGCCACTTTAGAACAATGCTCACATGGATGGGACTCCAATCAACCGTGTCTTGGTGGATAACGGAGCTACAGTCAATGTCCTTCCAACTTGCATGCTTTATAAAATAGGTAAGTCTCTTGATGATTTAGTACATACCGATGTTACAATTAGTGATTTTACAAGAGGGGTGAATCGTTCAAGGGGTGTGCTACCTGTTGAGTTAATAGTGGGAAATAGGACAATGATATTTGCGTTTTTTGTGATGGACACTGTTGCTACTCATAATGCACTTTTGGGGCATGACTGGATTCATTCAAGTTGGTGTGTCCCCTCTACACTTCACCAGAAGCTAATTTTCTAGAATGGTGGCAAGGCTAAGGTGGTGTCTGCAGATGATAGGCCTTTTTCAGCCAATACTCACCTAGTGGAGGCTAGGTATTATAAAGAAGACATTGGGACCATTCAGTTTTTTGGGATGGATAGACATGGGAAGCTGATTGGGATAACAGCAGTCAACAGACCGTCATTGTCTAAGCGTGTCGTAGAGGAAGTCTGTGATGAACTTCTTTGGCCAACAACAATAATTCCTTATAGGCTGAAGGGGAAACTAAAAATTGAAGAAATCTAATGAAGCAAGCTAATGAAGCAATCTCATCTGAGAAAAGAAAAAGAAAGGCCGTGTTGGAGATAACAAAAAAATTAGCGGTCTATTTTGCTGAAAAAGCAATTCAAGTGGACAGGTCTGAACTTGTTCATGAAGGCGAGGAGGCAAACTAGGGTGATGAAATAACTTTGGAGGAGTTGGATCTTGCCCCAGCCAAGTTGGATGATCTAAAGCTGAAGTTCAAGACCCATTGGAGGAGATCAATCTTGGGTTTGAGAGTGAGCCAAAGGTAACATTTATCAGCGGCTCTCTTGAGCAGCAGACATGAGATCAAATTGTCAGAATTTTGCATGAATTTAAAGACTGTTTTGCTTGGAATTACTCAAAAATGCTAGGCCTAGATAAAAAATTGGTGGAACATAAATTGCCAATTGTAGAAGGATTCAGACCATATAAACAGCCGCCTAGACACATGTCTGCAGATGTCACCTTGAAGGTGAAAGAAGAAATTGAGTAACTGGTAAAAGCTGGATTCATTCAGACATGCAGGTATGCAGAATTGCTGTTAAATGTAGTACCGATGCTGAAAAAGAATGGAAAATTAAGAGTCTGTATTGATTTTTGAAATTTGAACTTAGCCACACCAAATGATGAATATCTAATGCCAATTGCAGACTTGTTGATTGATGGAGTAACTTGTCACAAAATTTTATCTTTCATGGATGGCCATAGTGGGTATAATCAAATGCTCATAGTGGCCTTTTGATGCCTAGGTGCTGTTGGAACTTTTGAGTGGATTGTGATGCCATTTGGTCTGAAGAATACTGAAGCCACCTACCAAAGAGCCATGAATGCAATTTTTCATGATATGATTGGCAAATTCATGGAAATCTACATTGATGATGTTGTGGTGAAGTCACACGACGAAGACGACCACCTAATTCATTTGAGAAAGGCTTTTGAGTGGATGAGACAACATGGCTTGAAAATGAACCCATTGAAGTGTACCTTTGGAGTGTCTGTAGGTAATTTCCTTAGATACTTGGTACATAAGCGTGGTCTGGAGATTGAAAAAAACAAGGCCAAGGCTGTGATCGAGGCTCAACCACCACAGGCCAAGAAGGAGTTGTAGAGGTTTCTTGACCAAGTTAATTTCTTAAGACGTTTCATTTTTAACTTGGCTGGGAAAACCAGAGTCTTTTCTCCTCTGTTGAAACTCAAGTCTCAAGTGGATTTTAAATGCGAAGAACAACACCAGTCTGCCTTTGATACAATAAAGTGGTACTTATCTAGACCACCAGTACTTGTATCGTCTGTGAAAAATAAACCTTTAATTTTGTATATATCTGCCGCAGACGAATTCATAAGATGTTTGCTGGCGTAGGAAAATGATAAAAACCAGGTGCAGGTTGTGTATTACTTGAGTCAATGTTTGACCCAGACCAAGGTGAAATATTCTTCAGTTGAAAAGTTGTGTCTTGCTCTTTTTTTTGCTGCAATAAAAGTAAGACATTATTTGATTTATTTCGAGGTTTATGTGATTGCTAAGACTGATATTGTCAAATATATGTTGTCTTGCACTTTGTTAAGAGGTCGAATAGGTAAATGGATTTTAACCTTATCTGAATTTAATCTGAAATACATACCACATAAGGCTGTAAGAGGACAGGCATTGGCAGACTTTCTCGCAGATCATCCATGTCTAGAGGTGGAAGCATATGAAGAAAAGGGGATTAACTTGTCTTCAGTAAGTTTAGTTTCTTGGAAACTTATTTTTGATGGATCAAGCACAAAAACCATGTCTGGAGCTGGTGTCGTGATAATCTCCCTGTCTGGGCTAAAAACACAGATGTCTTTCTAGCTAGATTTCAATTGCACAAATAATCAAGTAGAATATGAAGCTCTGATTATTGGTCTTGAGATGTTGGTGGAGCTTAAAGTATCCATGGTTGAGGTTATATGGGACTCACAACTAATCTTGAAGCAACTTTCTGGTGAGTACAAATGTACTAACCTTACTTTAGCCCCTTATTTTGCCTTGGCTGTGCAATTACTAAAAGAATTTGATGATGTGTCTCTCAGACATGTGCCCAAAGACCAGAATTATGAAGCTAATGAAATGGCCCAGCTTGCTTTAGGTCTACGGATTCCTGAAGGTGTAATATAGAAAGTTGTAATAGTTGAAAAGCGTAGTCTGCCATCGATTCATCAATATGGCATAATAGTTTCTACTTGCAGCATTGATGTTACTAAGATAGATTGGCGCTTTCCAATTATTCAATACCTTAAGGATCAGGGCACTAAGGTATCTAGGAAAACCAAAATGCAAGCTCTCAGTTATGTCTTGATTGAGGATGTGTTTTATAGGAGAAGCCATGATGAACTATTGTTGTGTTGTCTGGGTCCAGATAAAAGTTTCTAGATGTTGTTTAACGTCCATGATGGGATTTTTGGTGCACACTAGGTTAGGATCAAGATGCGCTAGCTGATTCACAGACATGGTTTCTTTTGGCCGTTTGTCTTGAAAGATTGTATTGCTTATGTTAAGGACTGCAAATCTTGTCAGATCCATGGGCCACTTCAAGGAGTTCCAGCCTCTAAACTCAATTCTATTGTGAAACCGTGGCCATTTTGAGGTTGGACTATTCACTTGATTGGTAAGGTATACCCTCCTTCATCAAAAGGTCATTCATTTATTATAGTGGCAACGGATTATTTTACCAAATGGGTGAAGGCTAAACCAATGAAGAAGGTAGATCAATCTGATGTAATCAAGTACATCAAATAAGACATTATTCACAGGTTTGGTCTGCCAGAAACAATTACAACAGACTAAGGCACAGTTTTTGTTAGCCATCAAGTGGAGGCATTTGCAAAGGAAATGTGTTTCCGTTTGCTAAATTCCAGTCTACATTATGCACAAGCTGAAGCTTCCAACAAGGTGTTGATTAATTTGCTTGAAAGAATGGTGGATAACAAGATCAGATGCTGGCATGAACGGTTGTTTGAAACACTATGGGCTTATAGAACTTCACAAAGGAGTTCAACCAAAATGACACCTTTTGCTTTGACATATGGCCATGATGCAGTCTTACCAATGGAGTTAACAGCCAGGTCTTCAAGAATAGCGATTCAACATAATCTCCAGTCTGGGGAATACGATGAGGGCATGATGCTTGAGCTTGAAAACCTTGAAGACACACGTTTGATAGCTTTGGATAGATTGCAAGTTCAAAAGCTCAAAAACTCAAAATTGCAAAGTTTTACAACAAGAGAGTGAAAGGTAAAATCTAGCAGTTGGTGACTTGGTCTAGAAAGCAATTTTACCTCTTGGCAGGAAAGATCACAAATTTGGGAAGTGGTCCCCAAATTGGGAAGAACCATTTCGAATTCATAAGATGTTGAGAGGGGGAGAGAGGGAGCTTATTGGCTAGAGTCACTTGATGGAGAGCTTCATCCCCAAAAAAATCAATGGAATTTATCTCAAGTCTTATTACCCCATAATCTAGGAGGCAAGAGGAATGGAGTCTCAAGCTGTCTGAGCCAGGTTCACACTTCTTTTTGTGCATAATTAAATTGGGTTTCTTTCATTTATTTCACTTTGAATGAGAGCAAGTTTGATCAAGTGGTCATGACTAGTTGTGGATGGTTGGATGCGCTTAGACAGAGTTAGCTGTAAAAAAGTTGGGAATACTTGCTGCAATCATCTTGGGATTTAGCAGATTCTGCACGTGGCCTTTGGAGTCTGAAAGGTAATTTAAAATTTAAACACTTGGATTTATTCCCATAAAACCAAGTGTTTGGGGGCATTGTTTACATCTAAAAATAAATCAATAGGGTAAGGCCACGTGTCAAGGTGAAGCTCAATTATCAATAAAAGTCAACAGGTTGAATTTGAGCTGGACTGGATTACAATTTAAGGGGCCAGATGAAATTTTAAAGAAGTTGGATTTCAGGTGACAGAGTATAAGTTAGGTTTTGGTGTTTGAGTTTGATTTAAAGAAGAAATTGAGAGTTTTTAGGAGGTTATCCTTAGGGTTTATTGAAGATAAAATTGAACCAAAAATAGAAGACTGTCAGACAACTGCCAGACGTGGAGTCCCCACTACTCAGTCATGGTGAGAGAGGGCTGAGAAACATGGAGGAGGTTTCCCAGCACCGAAGGAAAGAAAAACAAGGAGAAGAAATCAGTTCCAAACAGGTTGCCCTACACACACATTACCCAGAGCATGTTTTTCAACTTTCAGATTACTTTTTCCAAATTTCAGCAATAGTTCCAAATTAATTTGCAAGATCTGTTCTTGTTCATATCCTTAGGTTAGCTTTTTCCATCCTTGTTCATATTTCCTTTCAAAGATTTCAATTTAGGTTAGTTTTTAAGCATTTGGAAGCAATTCAGCTTTCAA